AGGCCATTGATAGAGTTATTACTGAATGATGTGTATTGGTTACTGTCATTTTAATTTGTTTGTGTTCTTGGCCCTATTTTGTGTTTCCATAATTATACCTGCCTTGGTTTTCTTTCTGTAACATCTTGGGTATGGTCATTCCTATCTTCTGCCCTTTGTATTGCTTTGATTGCTCCCAGAACTCTCTGAAGGGCTGGTTTTGTGGACAAGAATTCTTTCAGCCTATTTATGTCATGGAAGATTTTTCTTTCCCGTTCAACTATGACAGACATTTTGGCTGGGTATAGTAATCTGGGTTCACATCTTTGGTTATTTAAAACTGGGAATACTTTGGTCCAGGCTCTTCTGGCTTTCATAGTTTGCATTGAAAAGTCAGCTGTAATCCTAATGGGTTGTCCTTAATATGTGATTTGCTGTTTTTCTTTCGTAGGTTTCTGTATTGTCTCTTTGTTCTGAATGTTTAGTGTTTTTACATTGATGTGCCATGGAGAGTTTCTTTTCTGGTCCTAACTATTTGTTGTTATATGTGCTTCTTATATTTGTATGGGCATGTCTTCTTTTAATTTTGGGAAATTTTCTTGTACAATCCCATTGAAGAGCTGTTCCATACCATTATCTTGAGATTCTTCTCCTTCCTGTATGCCTATGATTTGTAAGTTTGGTTTTTTTATGGTGTCACACAATTCTTGCATTATTCCATTCTTGTGTTTTTTAAATTTTTCATATTCTTTGCTTGAGTGGTCTAATTCGTCCACTTTATCTTCTAGTCTTGATATTCTGTTTTCCATTTCATTCATCCTATTGGTGAGGCTTTCTCCTCTCATTTCTAATTGGCTTACTCAGTGTTTCCCTTCCTTCTTCATTTCAGCCTGAGTATTCTTCAATGTTTCTAACTCTTTTCTGAATTCATTCAGAAGTATATCCCTGTCTTCCTTCAGTTCTTTGATTTCTTTGTGTGTTCTTTAAATTCACTGAACTCTTTTATCATGTTCATAATTGTTCTTTTGATTTCCATCTGCATTATCTCTAGGGGGTTCTCATTGTACTCCTCTAGAGGACTATTGGTATTTGGTGGGGATATGTTATTTTGGTTTTTCATGTTATTTTTTCTTTGTGACTTTGACATGTGAATTTCCTTCATAGTTTCTGATTCTTGTGTGAGACTCAAGCCTCCCTTTGTTGAATTTAGATCTGCTTCTTTTTGTAAACTTTATGTGCCTTTGTGGTTTACTTGTTGGGCGTGAAAAGCTGGTTGGTCTAGGCTTCAGGTTCTCTCTTTTGATTTTGTATTGGAGTGGCCAGGTTGCTTTTGTCTACAGGTGTTCACAGAGGTCCAAGTGAGATGAGGCTCAGATGATACCAGGCTTTCTCCTAAAGTATGGGTCTCTCTAGGAAAGATGCTGCCCTTAAGAATTTGGGGGCTGGGCTGGCTTGGGAGAAGGGCCCAGGATAGATGCTGGTTTCAGGAAGCTGGTGGCTGTGCCACCCAGGGAAGTAAAGGGAGGTGAGGGTGGGACCAGGCCTAGAGGGTTCCTGGGAGCTGCAGGGAGGAACTGGGTTGGTCCAGATGTAGAGGATCAGGTAGCAGTGGTGGCTCTGGGCCGAGAGATTGGCCTCGGTGTCTGGGGTGCCAAGACAAGAAATGGGCCTGTACGCAGCCTAGGAGGAGAGACACTGCGCTGGAGCTGGAAGGGTGAAAGAGGCTAGTGGAGTCAAGGGATGCGCTGGACTTACCCAGGGAAGGTGCCAGGACCTGGGAGGCTGTGCAGCCCAGGAAAGTAAAGGGGGGTGAGGGCGGGACCAGGCCCGAGGGTTCCTGGGGGCCTGCAGGGAGGAACTGGTCCCCATGCAAAGGATCAGGAAGTGATGGCGGCTCCGGGCCCAGAGGTTAGCCCTGGTATCTGGGGTGTCAAGACAAGAAATGGGCCGTTGTACCCAGCCTAGGAGGAGAGATTCAGTGAGGGGAGGGGGGTTGGGAGGGTGAAAGAGGCTGGGGGAGTCAAGGCACGCTAGGCTCGCTGGACTTACCCAGGGAAGGTGCTGGTACCAGAACACTGAAGGCTGTGCAGCTCAGGAAGCAAAACGCTTTTATTCTGTTTTATTTTACAGAAAATTTAGATGTTGATGTCAAATTTGTTAGTCTTTGTATGGTTTTTGCTTTGTCTATATGGTTTAAGCTTCATTGTTCACTGTGTGCCCTACCCATGAAGGCATCCTATGTAATTTAAACTTTCATTTTATGTGGAAGCTCTTATCAACTTGAAATATGTGTTCTGGGTTAATGATCTAATTTTACTTTAAAAATTATGAAAATATGGCCAGGTGTAGTAGTGCACACACCTCAGCAATTGGGTGGCAGAGACAGGCAGATCTCTGTGAGTTCAAGGCCAACCTGGTCTACATAGCCCAGGCCTGCCAGGACTAAGTAGTGAGAGACCATGTCTCAAAAAAAAGACCTAACTAACTAACTAACTAACTAACTAAATAAATAAATAAATAAAGCAAATCCATTTCTCTTAAATTATGTATTGCTTGCATGTAGGTAGGTACACCTGTGTAGTGCAATGCCCGAAGAGGTCAGAAGAGGGCGTTGGAGTCCCTTGGAACTGGAGTTAAGGACAGTTGTGAGCTGCCATGTGGGTGCTGGGATTTGAACCCAGGTCTTCTGCAAGAACTGTCAGTGTTCTTAACCACTGAGCCATCTCTCCAGCCCCCCTATTTATTATTTTTTAGTTTATGTATATGAGTATATTTTCTGTGTGTATGTAAGTGCATCTGTGTCGTGCAGTGTCCATGGAAGTCAAAGGAAGGCGTTAGATTTCTTGGAACTGGAGTTACAGATGATTGTCAGCCACGTTGTGGGTGCTGGGAATTGAATCCAGGTCTTTTGCAAGAATAGTCAGTGCTCTTAACTGCTGAGTCATTTCTCCAGTCCCCTAGTTGTCTTTTTTTTTGTAAATTTAATTAGTTTTTATTTTATGTGTATGAGTGTTATGCCTGCATGTGTGTAAGTGTACTTGTGTCATGGAGTGCCCATGGAGGACAGAAGAGGGTGTCGTATCCTGTGGAACTGGAATTATGGATGGTTGTTCGCTACTGTGTGAGTGCGGGGTTCAAACCTGGGTCCTGTGTAAGAGCAGCCAGTGTTATTAACTGTTGAGCCATCTCTCCAGGCCCCAGTTGTCTTTTTAAAAGTTTTTACACTTACTCATTTTGTGTGTGTGTCTGTGACTGGGAGTCTGTATATTAGCCCGAATATGTGTATGTATGTGTACCATAGCACATGTGTAGTGTTTAGACAACTCATGGGAGTCAGTTCTTTCCTTCTGGCATGTGGAACCCAGGGATCGAACTCAGGTTGTTAGGTTAGTGGCAAGTGCCTTTACCTGCTGAGCCATCTCACTGGTCCCTAGTTCTCTTAATAGTAGGAAAGTTAGGAAGAGCAAGATTAGCAATGATGAGACTCGAGGCTGTTTTCAGAATGCTTTCCATCCTTATCCTTGGACCTTGCCTTAGATGGGATCTAATTTTTTTAAAAAGATTATATTTTTAATTGGACATGCAACTTTATAAAATTTTAAATAACATTTTTATTAGAAATAGAATTAAAAAGAATGCCCACAGTCACTGCTTCAAAGGGGTAACATATACTGGATTTTTGTGGAATTCTGAAATGTTTCTTATTCCTTCAATACTCAGAAAGTTAAATTCACATGTTCACCGTGGGAAAAAAAAATCGAAACTGCTTTTAAAAAATTACCCTTTCATGGGGCTAAAGAGATGGCTCAGTAGTTAAGAGAACTGACTGTTTTTGCAGAGTACTTGGGTTTGATTCCCAGCACTGATGTGGCAGTTAACAACCCTTCATAACTCCAGTTCCAGGGTATCCAACACCCTTTTCTAACCTCCATAGGCACTGCATGATGTGGGTGCACTTACATGCATGCAGGCAATACACTCACACACATAAAATAAAAATAATAAATACATTTTTTAAAAAAACGAACATTGACTGTTCTTGCAGAAGACCTGGTTTCGAATCCCAGCACCCACACGGCAGCTAACAACTGTCTGTAACTCCAGTCCCAGGGGATCCGACAGCCTCTTCTATCTTCCGTGGGCATTGCAGGGCACAGGTGCACTTACTACATGCAGGCAATACATGCATACACATAAATAAAAATAAATAAAATATACTCACATGCATTTGTTTTCAAATGTACATGTATAATTTATAGACTAGGCTGGACATAAGAGAAAATATGCAGTTTTTTTTTACTTTCTGTGGCTGGGTGACCCCAATTAATAATTATACATTCTAGATCCATTCATTTTCTTGTGAATTTTGTGATTTCCTTTTTCTTAAGATCTGAATAATCCATTTTAAATATGTACCAGATTTTTCATTACTCATCTGTTGATTGAATAGTTATGTTGGTCCCATTTCCTTGTTGTAGTGAATAGAGCATCGATAAACATGGGGGTGCAAATATATAGTAGAGTGTGGGATTCTCTGGATATATCCCTAGGAAGGAGATAGTTATGCCATGTGGTAGCTCTGTTTTTAATTTCTTGAGGAACCTCCAAACTGATTTCTATAATGGCTGTACAGTCAATAAGGCTTCCCCTTTCTTCCCATCTTCTCCAGTATTTGTTGTTGGCTTTCTTGATGATAGCCATTCTGACTGGGATGAAGTGTTCTCAAAAGTAGTTTCAATTTGGAGTTCCCTGGTGACTAGGGATGTTGAACTTTTTTTTTTTTTTAATATGGAATGTATTGGGGCTGGAGAGATGGCTCAGTGGTTAAGAACACTGGTTGTTCTTGCAGAAGACCCAGGTTTGAATCCCAGCACCCACATGGCAGCTAACAACTGTCTATAAATCTATAACTCCAGTCCCAGGGGATCTGACAGCCTCTTCTGACCGCCACAGGCATTGCACGATACGGGTGCGCTTACCTATATGCAGGCGATACATGCATACACATAAAAATAATAAATAAAATTATTTATTTACTGTTTCATGAATTTGCTTGTCATCCTTGTGCAGGGGCCATGCTAATCTTCTCTGTATCGTTCCAATTTTAGTGTATGTACTTTTGAAGTGAGCATGGGATGTTGAACTTTTTAAGATAGTTGTTAACCATTTGTATTTACTTTTCTGAGAACTATTCAGTTTGTTAGCCCCTGTTTTGAGTCATGATCTGTTTTTCGTAGCAACCTTGCACGATAGTCTCTAATAGATCTAGAGTTAGACCAAGGCTTCCTGGTCATCTGGCCTATGCTATCTTCCCATTCGTGAAGGCAGAGCGTTGGTCATAGATGGGGTGAGAACTGCTTATTCTGTGCTTTTGTAAGTATCTTGTGAAGTTGAGGTTTGGGTAGTGTGTATTGATTCTTGATGCGGGGCATTGGTGATGGAGACAGAATGAGGTAGCCAAGATGGTATTTCAGAGTGGGCATAGATGCCTGACTTCTCATCTCCCAAGCTAATTACTGTGGTGATGTTTATTCCTATATAGTATTCCTTCTGTCTGTTCTCTGTTGGGAGACCTTTGTTGTGCAAAAGTCGAAGCTTCTTCACGCCGGATAGCTCATGTAGCTTGGGATGTGCTGCGGGCTCCTTTACATGACAAAGTGCTTCCCGGCATCTTTCCTGCCTCTCCTTTTGAGGTGTCCACCATGAATGCCCTAAACATTAATGTGGCCTTTGACTCTGAAAAGGTATCATACCTTCCTGTAAATTCCTAGCAGACAACTGTCTGGCAGAAGCCCACTTTTCACATGCAAAAGCATCTAACAGCCAAGGCTTTTACCACAACCCCCATGGTATAAAAATCTTAGTCTTCTCTCAATAGCCGGGAATTTAGGGAAACCGGGCCCAGGAATTCAGGGAGATCAGAGATATCAGAGAACTGGGTCTCAGATAATAAAGCTGTACAGACTAAAACTAAGCCTTGAGCCTTTGAGTCTTGTGTACCGACGACCTAACTCCTCCAGAGGGCAGCACCTTCCGTTACCGACCCACGGATACTCTAGCTTCGCCGTCCTCGTGCCTCTTCCCTGTGGGGTTCAGTGGCCAGGAGCCCCACTATCCTGAGGAAAGGTATATGGGTGTATTAAGGGACGGGATTTCGACTGGACAGATGCTCCAGTAGCAGGGAAAGCTCAGCAGCAAGAGAAACTGCGGTAGTCGTCAGCTACCGCCACTCCCAGAGACGTGGGACCCGAGCCGCCAGGAAGTCTGTGGAGCCGCAGGGAGTGAGCATACGGCTGCGCCCAGAGAGAGAGCGCAGCCGCCCATAGTTCTCAATATTAAAATGTGGTGTTACTTCTTTTGGATGTGCTCTTGACTTCACCTCTTGGCCTGCATTTTATTTTATGATGATGATGATGATGATGATGATTTTTTTTTTTTTTTTGGTCTTTTTGAGACAGGGTCTCCCTGTAGCCCCAGCTGTCCTGGAACTCACTATGTAGACCAGGCTGGCCTTGAACTCACAGAGGTCTGCCTGCCTCTGCCTCCCGAGTGCTGAGATTAAAGGTGTGCGCCACCATGTCCAGCTTGGCCCTCATTTTAACTCTCCATTTTACAGATGTGTAATTTGGAAAAAAAGAGCAAGTAGGGTATCTAGCCCAACATCATTTTCATTTCTCTTCCAGATACATTTCTGTGTACTTAGCATGCTTTTTTCTTTCTTTTCAGTGTGGAACATGAGACTGAGAATGATACCACAGAATATTCCTGATGAAGAAACATCCTATGAGGTAGAAATGGAAGGATTTACAAGGGAGGGTCCCTGTTTCCCCATTCTAGGTGAGAGTTGGAACTATGAGAAGCAGGAAAGACGTTTGAGGGAACCTCCTTTAACTAAGGAGAAAACAGTGGCTCAGGAAGCAGGTTGTGAATGTCTTGGTTTGGGGGAGCATTTGAGTGCAAACCCAGTCGTTCTAGCATCTCAGAGAGCTCCTACAACAAATGGTTTTCATGCTCATAACTCAGATATTAAAGCTTTGGATTGTGGCCGAACCTTACACATTTGTCCCCAAAATTATGCATCTAAGAGAACTGGTGACAGTGATGCTTGTGAAAAAGACTTCCCTCCTTCCATGGAAGTCACACAACCTGTACAAAACCAAATGAGAGACAAGCCCTATAAATACTCAGAAAGTATTAAATCTTTAAACCATTTTACTAACCCCCTTTGTGGTAAAAAAATAATGAAAAGAGGTATGAAACTTTACAAAGGTAAGGACTTTGGGGACATTTTTGCCCTGAGCTCATCTCTTAATGAAAAAAGAAGTTACTCCATTGAGAAACCCTATAAATGTGATGAATGTGGGAAGTTCTTCAAAGAGAACTATTCTCTTGTTTTGCATCACCGAACTCACACTGGAGAGAAACCTTATACCTGTACTGAGTGTGGAAAATCATTCTCAAAAAACTACAACTTGATTGTGCATCAAAGGATCCATACTGGAGAGAAACCCTATAAATGCAATAAATGTGGGAAAGCTTTTAGTAATGGGTCTGCTCTAACACAGCATCAGAGGATTCATACAGGTGAGAAACCTTATGAATGTCTAGACTGTGGAAAAACTTTCAACCGAAATTCATCCTTGATTCTGCATCAAAGAACTCATACAGGGGAGAAACCATATAGATGTAATGAATGTGGGAAACCCTTCACTGACATCTCCCATCTTACTGTTCATCTCAGAATCCACACTGGTGAGAAGCCCTATGAGTGTAGCAAATGTGGAAAGGCTTTTCGAGATGGCTCATACCTCACCCAACATGTGAGGACCCACACTGGGGAGAAGCCTTTTGAATGTATAGAATGTGGGAAATCCTTCAATCGCAACTCTCACCTCATTGTGCATCAGAAAATTCATTCTGGGGAGAAGCCCTATGAATGTAAAGAGTGTGGGAAAACTTTCATTGAGAGTGCATATCTCATCAGGCACCAGAGGATTCATACTGGTGAGAAGCCCTATAGTTGTAACCAGTGTCACAAACTTTTCAGGAACATTGCGGGACTCATCCGGCACCAGAGGACTCATACTGGTGAGAAGCCTTATGAGTGTAATCAGTGTGGTAAAGCTTTTAGGGACAGCTCCTGTCTGACTAAACACCAGAGAATTCACACTGAGGAGACGCCGTACCAGTGTCTGGAGTGTGGAAAGTCCTTCAAGCAGAACTCTCACCTGGTGGTACATCAAAGACTCCATAATAGGGAGGGTCCCAGCCAGTGTCCTCAGTGTGGGAAAATGTTTAGAAAGAGTTCATTCCTTGTCCGACATCAGAGAACACACCTTAAAGAGCAATCCATGGAAGCATAATGAACACGGACCACAGTCTTCCTCCATAATAGGGAGGGTCCCAGCCAGTGTCCTCAGTGTGGGAAAATGTTTAGAAAGAGTTCATTCCTTGTCCAACATCAGAGAACACACCTTAAAGAGCAATCCATGGAAGCATAATGAACACAGACCACAGTCTTCTTCCAGCTTTCTCAAAAATGTATGTCCACAACATGTGTGTTTAGGTCTGATTCTTCCCTTGTCAACAGAAAACAATTTTTTTATGATGAGAATTGATGAATATGAGATAGTCTATAACCCCATTAAATCTATTATTAAGGAATTCTTGAAGAAAGTATTGAATGATAATGGGTAAAAACTTCAGGGATGATTCAGCCTATACCAAACATGTAATGCATACACTGTAATAAAATACAAGAAAGTGAGCAAGATCTTTCCCTGGAGATACCTATCTTCCTTTATTATCAGGATGCTTAAATTGGAAAGAACCCATTAGTTTAGTAGATAGTCAGTTAGGAGGCATCTTTAATAGTGAGTATCCACCTTATTGTATATATTTAAATGGTTATTAGAATCAAACTTTGTAATTGTAATTAGGAACTGTCACGCCATCTCTAATGAAGCCCACGTGAGATCCTCTGTGGGTTAAGGCTTTGAAAGCCCTCATCAGAAAATTCCAATGGACTTTAAGTGTTTCTTCTGGTTCCCTGTCTAGAACTTTTCTGTATGAAACTGTGTATTTTAATAATGAAATGGAGATCTTTTTAAAAGCTTAAAACCTCATCCAATTTTATATCTTATAGGGTTTATACTGAGTACAGTATTGTATAATGTAACAAGTCAACAATAAACCTAAAAATTTACAGTCAATTTTGAAAAAGATGCATCTTAGCTCAGAAAATTTGTTATTGAATATGTCAATGCTGTTGTAATGAAATGCTTCTTCTAAGTATGCAGTTATTAGGTACAACAGTGAACTTAAAAATTTTATAGCCACTTTTGAATGAGATGTATCTTTGCTCTGGAAACTGTTATTGAGTATGTTAAAGCTATAATGAAATGCCTTTTTTAAAAAAAACTTAATTCTTATGTTCTCCTTCTGAATAATAAAAACTGTAACTGGATCCTGGAAAGGACCCAGCATTCTAATAACCTTGGGAAGAGGATATGCATTTGTGTTTCCACAGGATGCTGAAGCTCCCATCTGGATTCCTGACAGGCTCATTAAGCCCTACAATCAAGCCCAGGGAAAGGAGGAATCGAGGAAGACTGAAATCTGTGATGCATAAACTACAGAAGCTGAGTGTGTCTCCTCCGCAGGCCCGATCAACACAGGAAGCCAGCCTGCCCACCTGGAGACAAGTGAAAAAACTGACACATGAAGCAGAGAATGCTGTGGTTGCTGCAGGGCGACCTTTGACAAAAGAAAACATGTTTCTTACAATTCTTGCAGTCCTGACTGTACAGATGTCAACTGTTTCAGGGGAAATTTATTGGGCATATGTACCTAATCCGCCTCTTTTGCATCCTGTAGGATGGGGAGATGGATCACAAATTAAAATAATGACTAACTATAGCCAACTTTTAGGTGGGTCTGAAGATTTTAGGATTTCTCATTTAACTTGTGAAATTATTAACTATGTGGGAATGTCAGATACCACGCCCATTTGTGTAAGTTTAATAGGACAAGTGATGCCTGGATGCTTACCCATTAATTATAGAACTTTCTACACAGATGCTCCTGATCGCAGCTCTGATTCTGGTAAAAGATTAATGTGGGAACTGGGTACAATAACTTTGGGGTATTATAACTATAATGAAACCTTTCTAGATCCTGACATTAACATGCCTTTAAAAAACTGTTTTCAAGAGTATCATGATAAAGATCAATTTTGGAATTCCTTTATCACTTATCCAAAATGGTTAAATTGTGGATTTCCTTCTAAAGTATCTAAACATCAGCCCCCAGGATCTAAAGAGTCTTTATGATTTCTCTATTCCAAACCCTAATTATAATTATACTGAATATCTGTTAAAAAGCACAGATAAATTTAATAACTTTAAACTTCAGACTTATGGAGAACCAGTTAAAAGATGGTTTACTCCCGGATGGGTGGCTCCCATATACATGAGTCACTCTCCAGAGCATAATACAAGTATTCATCCCAGTCTCTTCCGGCTTTTTGCACTCCCCAGAGCATAATGATACAAATATTCATCCCAGTCTCTTCCGGCTTTTTGTGGCTGCAAACGTGCTGCTGCTTAGGAAACCAAAGGAAAACACACCTACTCCGGTGGGGGTACGAGCTTGTATTAATTGTCATTTTAGAATCTTGGCAGAGAAGCCTAGTAATTTTAGTATTTCAAATTATAGAAAATCCTATCATGTAAAATGTTCAAATTGTATGTTTACCAATTGTCTCACTTCTGCTTTGGATAAAGATTACTGTTATTATGCTGTTAAAACGACCTAGTTTTGTTATGTTTCCAGTAGATTTAGGATCAGATCCTTGGTATGATAACTCAGCTTTACAGACATTGAGGAATTTGAATGAATTAATCAGGCCAAAAAGGTTCATTACAGCATTTATATTGGGCATAGGCGCATTGATCACTATCTTGACTTCGCTTACTGTTTCCACTGTTGCTCTAGTGGAAGAAGTCAGAACGGCACATTTTGTAAACAATCTTAATAAAAATATTTCATTGGCTTTAACAGATCAGTATAACATTAACCAAAAGCTAGACATGAGAATAAATGCTTTAGAAGAAGTGATTTTAGCTTTAGGACGGGAAGTGCAAAATTTAAAGGTACAGCTCTCTACTAAGTGTCATGCTAGTTTTAAATATATTTGCATGACTCCTTTGAATTACAATACATCCTTAAATTGAAATGCTACCAGAAACCATTTTTTAGGAGTATGGAAAGACACTTATATTGAATACAATTCGTAGGAAACGGGTTTTAAAACAAAATGCTTCTGTTCATTCCTTTTCACTATTATAAACGCATTGTTAGAACTCCTGTTCTTTCTACAGAAAGCAAGCACTTAGATTCACAACTGACATGTATTTCCTAAAGCCAAGAGACTAACACTCATGGAAATACTCTTTTTCATGCAATTCGCGGGAGACGGGTTTTGACACAAAATGCTTCAGGTCATTCGTTTTCTGTCACGCCATCTCCAATGAAGCCCGCGTGAGATCCTCCGTGGGTTGAGGCTGGAACTTCAAGGAAGGTTGCCTCTTGGAATTGGCTGTGCTAAAAACATGCAGTGTACTTGGCATGCTTTTACTTGCTATTATCTTTCTGCCTGTCACTGTATCATGGACTTTCAGGGGCCCAGAAAGCACCTGGTGTCCTTGGCACCGCTGTCACTGCCTTTATTAAAATCTTTCAATTATCCTAGTATGCAGGAAGAGTTCTCAGGAACTCAATCGCCGGAGACAACTTTGCCTCCAGATGCATCACTATTAATGAAAGCTATTTTAGATGCAGCAAGAAGTAGTCAAACAAAATCAATGCTGGAAAGTCCAGGGAATAACAAATTTCTAGAAGAGAGACATAGATGAGTAAATATAGATAGAAGAAGGGTTTCTTGGTATTCATTACAATTCATGGATAAATTGACAAGATCAAGACCACCTTAGTGTCTTTTGATAAAAGATCAACAAGAGAGCATTAAAAGGCAACTGCAGACTGTAGTTAAAGATTGGAAAAATAGCTGGGAAAGATGGTTTCATAGGTCCCTAATATGGGATGATTTTTTAGGATCTAAGGGGTTAAGGAATGACTTAGAAGCCCGATGGCCCACTACAAATAAGCAAGGAATGTTATCAAATAGTTAAAAATATAATATCATACACAGTTGATATTAAAAGTACTTGGTGGTTTAAGGTCATTCTGACCTGAAAACACAAAACTAAGCAGAATTCTGAGTACGTAATAAAAACTGGTAGTAGAAACCATAGTATCATAAAGTAGGAATTTGCTGACTGGTACCAGGTTGATAAGATAAAGAAATGTGTTTTGGCTATACATGAGGGTTGGCAAAATTGTTTTACTTTTACTAAAAATCTTAGGAGGTGACTAGAACAGTCTCGCTGATGATGAACTTTCACAATCTTTGCTGTATATATTTCAAACCTTGCAGCTGCAAAAATACACTCAGACTTTCATCAGGCTCCTTTGTGTCTGTTTGTCATTTGCCGACTCCTTGTCCACCCTCTCGACGACCCTGTTCCCGTCGGACTGAACTGCCCGGGTCTGGGCTGGTCCATCACAAGGAACAGAAGTCTTCAGCAGGAGCTTTTACTTTCTTTGACATATTGGTAAGAGGTCCCACCCAATGTCTGACTCCACAGCAACCACAGGATGATAGTTGATTTTGCTCTTTGAATGCATATCTATATTTTAGTCCTGCCTGAACACTGAGGACCCATTTAAGGAGAAATGGATATAGAAGTTGCTTGTGATTGGAATGAAGTTGTCTCTTAAGACTAAAATACTCTCTGTGATGGAGAGGGTTGCTGACTGGTACTCAGCAATATGATCTATTGCTTTAGTTACTGAACAAGAAAAGACCAAATTTATATATTTCAGTTCTCAGGTATCCTCACCATTGTTGTTCATTTAGGACACTTTCAATTTGTTCAGTCGGGCCTCTGAATCAAAATGACAAAGGTTTAGTTTCCATGCCAAAAATACTTATAAGGTTGCAAAAGGCAGGCATAAAATAAGAGATTCATTGTTATTACAATTGTATAAATGTGCTTGTATTTGGATGTAGGTTAGCAGCAAATGGTGAATAAATAAGTAGATTTTGGAGGGGACTATAATTGTGTATTTTTCATTAGTCATATACTGCTGGTATATTTTGAAATGTATATAAAACTGAAGAGTGAGTTTGGGGTCTTTGTATCTTCTTTACCAGTAGACACTAGAACAGAACTACAGGAAGCCATAAACATCTAAGGGTTTAGCTAACAGAAGCTTCTTTGGAGTCAGAGTATCCTACAGCCTAGAATAATTCCTCTAGGGACTTGGATTATGAGGATGATGTCATTGTGGAAGGAGAGGGTTTTAGGTCTAAAGATAGGGAACAGGAAGCTACAGAGAAATCTGAAATAATCCCAGTGTGACCTCTCTCAGGCTGATTGAAAGCACAACAGTTTGACAACTTCAAAGGCCTGTGAATAGATCCCCTGGTAATTCTGATTGACCCTGTCTTCTGTCTCCTGACTCCTGTGGAGGGAGAATCAGAAAGAAGTCCATTCTGAGATAATAAAGGCTGTGTGTAGCATTTATTAGGAACCAAGCCAGGCACCTCTGGCTATTCTGTATAGAATCCCTTCTCACAGGAAGAACCATTATATGAGCCCCAGAGAGGAATGATGAGCCTTTGTCCCCATGTCCCTGCATTGTAGCCCACTGTAGTGCTTTAATGCACGGACAGAATTTTGTTGTGAAGATTAGTTGCCTGCTATGCTTATATGTCCTGTTATTTCTATGAAAGTGGTCCTTTCATCAGATTCTTACAGAATGGTTAAAATTCCTGGGTTCCAGGGGCCTGGAGAGATGGCTTAGCGGTTAAGAGCACTGGACCCAGGTTTGATTCCCAGCCCCCACATGGTGGCTAACAACTATCCTTAACTCCAGTTCCGGGGGGGGGGGGGTTGATGCCCTCTTCTGACCTTTGTGGACACAGCATGAC